ATTAAGTTATTGTAGTTGCATAATATCTTTCTGCCCTACAAAAATGAAAAGAACCATCAGATTCACAGAAGGAGCTCAATAAAAATAAAGTTTTCTAATTGCTATAGCCTGTGAGTGGCCGGCTTTCTTTCTTCCTCACTTAATAATCTGTATACATGGTGCACTCCGAAGTTTTATTTTTTATTTTTATGCCCTATTTGTCTTGTGTAACTGTAGGCATACTAATCCCCGGGCATTAAAGAACTCTCAAGCCTTAACACACCACAGGTCGACATAGCAAGATCATTATCTTAACTTAGCTTTCTTCTGTCAAGAGGGAAAACCTCAGGGTTATACTTAGATTTATGTAAACCACTAGATTGCCTATCTGGTATTTCACTTTTGCAGAAAATTATGAGAGAAATAATAGCATGAGTCAAAGTTTAGACAGACATCTGATGGCCTATTCATTGATGAAACCGCGGAGAGAAGCTTCCCTAAATCCTAGTTCTGGATTATCTTTACTGCATGTTCATCCCCTCTCCAAGCCCAATATGCGTTTTAACCGAGGAAAGAAATGCAAACTTTTATTTCTCAAGGAGAATAAAACCCCAAGAAGCCCATGAACATGAGGACTACTCGGGAGTCCCGTTGTCTCTTCCCATCAACAGGCTGATTCGGGCGCCTTCGCCGCTCCGGTCCCCAGCATCCAGGGACCCCAGCGGGTGGCGCGGACATCTCCTTTCGGCAAAGCTCGGCTAAGGACACGTGTTCTTCCTGCCAAGCTCCGCCGGGTATTCCCTAGGCCCCACCTCCCTTCGTCGCCGGCCAATTACGCCTCGAGGCGTAGCACGGTCCCGCCCCTCCGTCCCCAGCCAGCCGCCTTTGTTCTCCCCGGCTCTCTCAGCCTGTGCGCTCCGGGCAAACCGAGTGGCAGCTGCTGATTGGTGGCCGCGGCGCAGCCAATCAGAAGGGGGCACCTCACGTTAGGGCTCGGAGCTTTAAACGCGTAAGGCACGGCGCGCGCGGAGGAGACTTGGGAGGAGGGCGGGCGTGGAGGGCGGTGCCGCGGCGCTCGGACGCGCAGGTAGGCGCACTCGGCGCGGCTTCTCTCGCCGCCAGCCAATCGTCGGCGAGGACTTCCTGGGGGATTTCTTTGCGTCCCTCGCCTTTGCGTTCCCCACCGGAGCCCTTGGTCCGGGAGCTTTCAGTGGCCGCTGGCGTGAGGAGGCCGCGCTCCCACTGCCGCGATGAGGCCCCGGAAAGCCTGCCTGCTCGTCCTGCTCCTGGCGCTGGCGCAGCTGCTGGCCGTGGCGAGTGCCGAGGGCCTGGACGAAGGTGAGCGGCCGGGCGGCGAGCGGGGCCTGCGGGCTGGAGAGCGCCGTGTGCGGCCCCAGGGGCGGGTGCGACTCCAGAACTGGCACTCGGCGCCAACTTCGCTGGAGTTTAAGAGGCGATAGCGGGTGGTCCGCATCGCTTAGATCCCGGGAGAGCAGCGCGGTGAAGGGGCCGGAGCTGCGGGGCCTCTTAGCAAGCCCCCTGCCGCCGAGGCTTGGGTGCAGCGAGGGTGCAGAGCGCCTTCTTTGCCATTGGCTCCCTCCGTCGCCCTCATTCAGCCCAGGTTTTCCTCAGGTCCAGGCTCCCGGGGAAAGGGAGTTTGAGAAGTGGTTAAAATTCACAGGCGAACACGCGCAGGGAGTGTGAAAGGAGAGGGGACCACTGTTTCCAAAACAGGATTTAGAGAAGGCGAGGGCGCGAAGACCCCAGCGAGANTGATCAATTTTAGATCCAACCTTGTGTAACTCCAAAAGGAGGAAGGAGTCAAAACTGTGAGGAGTCGAGTTAATTCCAGTTCTCCCAGTCGAGAGAGCCAGAAAGAGCCGGACGCCGGTCAAGGATGCACAGCGCTACCGGGACGACGAGGAGGCTGTTGTCTCCTCCAGCCGGCAGAGGGCGCTGTAGAAGCCGAGAACGCGCACGAAAGGCAGCGTTCCCAGGATGCCCTGGGTGTTCCCAGGGCAACGGCCGCCGCAGGGCGGGGCTGGCGGGCGATGGCCAACCCCCAGAGTGCCGGTCCGAGCTTTCCCGCGGCACAGCGCTGGGCAGACTGTGCAGGTGACGTCAGGTGGGCGTGGTCACATCTAGACTGGGCAGAGGAGGCGGTCCGCGGTCGCAGGAGGAAAAAGCCAGCTCGGGGGAGGCGCCGTCCGGGCTGCTCGGACTGGCTGTGAAATCTGTCGCCCTGGTCCAGCCGTTTACCGGGAGCTCGCCGCTGGGATTCCGGGAGGGTGGTGCGGGGAAATCAAATTCCATGAAGCAGAAACTTTTTGATCTTTGTTATCCATCCAGTGTATGGCCCCCAGAGGGCGCTCTACGAACACTTGTTGAATCAATGGAGTCATGAAAAGTCCTACACAGATTTTACAGTCAGCCCAGAGCTTTCTGAGCGTTGCTGTTTCCTTGAAACTCGGCTTCTATCTTGGGAATACTGTTGGTGAGTTACAGAAATAAAGAAAGAAGAACAGATGCAATTATGGCTGAGAAAAGGAAAGGAATCCCATAGGGGGACATGTGATAGTACAATAATAAATTGCAATGATAGGGACTGTCACTTTCGCAACAGTTCTTTAGAAAATGATGATGATGTTTGGAAAGACTGTCTCGTCACAGGAAACTCCTGCGAAAATGTCAGCTTGGCCTTACTTTCAATGGTTGGCCATACATGTATGTGTGAACATTTCCCTATTTTGAATCACATCAAAGGCAGTCAGTACTCAAAGTTATTGGGCGATGCAACAGGAGTTGAGCAGCTGAAATATCATTACATTCTACATTGTAACAATAGAATCTGAGTATGATGTCTTCTCTGTGTATAGAATGGAGTTAAGGCATATGGTTGG